AACGAAATGTGTGCAATGCCAGCCCCCCTCCCTGCCCGCCTGCTGCCCCTGCCACGGTGCTATTTGGGGCGGCGAGCGCCTGGGGGGACCCGCTGCGGAAAGGTCTCCTTACGCGGGAGAACTGGCGACCAGGTGGAACCTGGTCCTTTCACAAACTTCTTTGAAACTCAGCCTTATGGATTAGCCCCGCGCCTGTGGTGAACTTTGCCCCACCCTCCAGACACCCACATATCCTTCCCACTCACACACCCGAGCTCAACTTTTATTGCACATGCTAGCTGGCCATAGCTAATATTTGTATTGTGTTTCAGGGTTGACAACGTGATCCATATACATTATATCCTGGATATCTCAAAGATGGTGCAGGCAACCGCATTATTTATCCAGCGAGTGTCATATTGTGCCAGGTGTCTTGTAGCAGCCAGGGATGTCGTGATGACATCCAGGCTCAGATACATCTACCTGTCAAGAAATGTCACTTTTGATCAGATTCTCTCAGCCAGACTCCCACGGGCGTCCTGGGGATAGAGACAAGTTCAGGACTTTCCTCCTGGGAATATCCTGGCCAGAAACACCCCCCCCCCCCCCAACAACCCTGGGGTTTTTGTGTGTGTGAAATCACATTCAGAGGAGAGAGGTGAAGCGGCCTTCTGTTTGCCTTGTCACTCACCTAGCATGCGAGCAACTGTGACAAAGGGCACCCCCCACCCCCCACCCTGTCCCCAGCTCTGGCAAGTCTCTCCATGGCTCTCTCCTGACCTCCTTCAGCGCTGATGGACCGTGGGCTATGCCACAGAACAGAGACGTTGCCTCTGCAGGGACTGAGTAGAACTCCCTAACTTTGGGGACAAATCGGTGTTCTTGAAAATGTTTCCAAGCACTACCCGAGTCACCTCTTCTGAGCCTTAGTAAACACTGGGAACATCTGGGGCATGCGTGTCTTAGTTCATTGCTTCCAATTATTTGGTGCCAATGCTGTCTTGGGTCTCTGTTCACATTTTCTGATCTTGGAGATGTGTTGAGAGATAGTTATTGTGCCCACATTACAATAAGGAAACTGAGGCACAGAGAGGCCCCCCCCCCCAGTTGTACCAGGCCATGCAGGCCAGTCCTCAGGGCCCAGGATGGCTGTTGGGTAAAGCCCACAGCTGCCCTGCTGAGCCACTCACTCCTGCAAGTACCAACCTGCCAACCAGCTAGAGCGGCTGGGGCTCTCCTGTGACATTAGGGCGAAACAGGAAACTGGAACTTCAGAGGAGGGGAAGAGGGTAGCTCGAGGAGGCAACCAGAACCGACAGGGGTCTGCCACTCAGTACTGGGCAGCAGGCGAGACCCTCAGCACCGGGAGCAGGTGATGTCACTCATCTTATCTTTAGGGAGAATGTGGGCCCCGACTGCTTGCCCTGATCCCTACCGTGGTGAAGCTTCTCCCATGGATCTGGGGTCCACGCTGGAGTCTGTCTGTTTACCCTGCAGCTTAGGTAAGCCTTTTTCCAGGAACCATGCAAGGCCTCTGAGGGTCACTGGCTCGCCCTTTGCTGATCTGCAAAGACTCCTGTTGAGCTGGAGTTTGTGTTGCCGGGGTGTCATCCTCCCGGGCAGCGGCCTCTGAGCTCCTGAAAACATGCCCTCGGGTCAGGTGATAGAAGTCCACTGGGACAGGGGGCATGAACTGAGAAAAGGGGGAGCTCACTGGCAGTGAGGAGGGAGCTGCTCGGTGGCCAGGGGCTAGACCTCGGTGAGGGCCAACAGTGGATGTGTGCTTGGCTGCCTTCTTGGTACTGACAGCGAAACCTCATGGGTCCAGGTAAACACTTATTGTCATGTTAAGGCATGGAACTCACAACCCTCAAGGCAGATGGGTTTACCCCCATTTTACAGATGAGAAAACTGAGGACCAGGAATAACAGCACTCGGCCAAGGTCTCCAAGAGAGAGTGAGAACCTTCTCAGAGCCCAAGTTCACTCTGCCATCAGGACCTGCCCCAGAGTACCCCCAGGTGTCGACTGACTGTGCAGAAACTGTCAGCTGGCTTGATATCTTAGCCTCTCTGGCAGACCCAGGAGCTTGGATCAGATTCCCCACCACTCCAGGGGGTGGCAGAATATGTGGAGAAGCCTGTGGCAGGGAGAGATGAGCCACGTTCAGCAGGAGAGAGTGTGGAAATGGTACCAGATGGATAGCGGTGGATAGAGCCCTGGCCAGGCAGGCCTTGTGGCCTGGTGGGGAGCTTGGTTTTTGACATAATGCCTGTATGAAACTACCACAGAGCGTTTTAAGCAGGACTGTGACTCTGTTAAATTAACAACATGCTGAGTAATACATGTAAACCAATGGTTATTACTGAGGCACCTGGTGGGGAAAGAGAGGGAAGGTAAAGCTATGCACTCACTCTAGGTCTGCAGGATCCAGAACCTTCAGCAGGCCCATAAATTGCTGCTCTCCTAGATACTCTGCTTCTTTGATAATTAACCTATCCCAGGACAAAGTTCACAGACTGGCTTTGCCACAGGCCCTGGCGAGAAGGCCAGAGCAGCTCACCTGAAGCTCTGCTGCCTCCCTTCCTCTGCCCCTCTCAAAAGTCAGACGCCCTCCTCATTGGTACACTATTACATCGCTTGTTGGCTTAGGCGCCAGGGCTGGGTCATAGGTGTCTTTTATTTAATCCCAAGCATGGACTTGGAGTTTTAGGACCTGTGTGACCTGCTTGGTGCCATGGGAATGTCACTACAAAGTG